TAATTTAACTTTGGCGGATCCTGAATTTTATATATCGGGCGAAATAGACCTTTTAATCGGAGCCGGACTATTTTACGACATTTTGAGAGAAGGGCGTATAAAATTACAAAACAACATTACTTATGTACAGAACAGCTGCTTTGGGTGGCTAGTGGGCGGCACATATACAAATGTGGATCTGCAGTGTCAAGGGCCAAGAGAAAATTCCTGCCTCTTAAGCACCAACAGTCTGGAGCACCAGATGTCAAAATTCTGGGAATTGGAGGGCATGGCTAATAACGTAAATTTCACCACTGACGACGAAACCTGCGAAATTTCATTCGTCACCACCACTAAAAGGGACCCAGATGGTCAGTTTTCAATAGCGCTTCCCGTCAAAACAAGACCTCTTGATATTGGTCAATCAAAACGAACCGCAATAAACAAATTTAAAGATTTGTCACATTGGCCTAATCATGTAACAGAACTTCCGCCGGAAAGACGCAATGTAACACTAATATCTCAAACACAACCAGATTTAAACGTTTTCCATCGAGTTAGCATTTACAAAAAATTAAAACGAGTCATTAGCAACTTGGCCGGCGAAGGGGTTACATGTAAGTTTATTTCACCGAATTCTCCATACGTTGGAGGAATATGGGAAGCGGCGGTCAAGTCATTTAAATACCACTTTAAACGGGTAGCGGGCACCACAGTTCTTACTGTGGAAGAGATGAGTACCTTACTAACCCTTATCGAAGCTATTCTTAATTCACGCCCCCTTGTTCCCATGAGTAATGACCCCGACGACCTGGACCCTCTGACGCCGGGACACTTTATAATCGGCACATCCTTGACGGCACCACCGGAACCAAGCCTTCTACATCTGCCGGAAAATCGCCTCTCTCGATGGCAAAGGGTTGAACAACTTCGCCAACTCTTCTGGGAAAGGTGGACGAGAGAATATCTAACAAGTCTCCAAACGCGGACTAAGTGGCGTCGCGAAAATCCGATCCCTCTTCAGGTAGGAGCAATGGTTGTCCTTAAGAACGAAAATATCGCACCGCTACAATGGAAATTGGGTCGTATTGTGGAATTGCATCCAGGAAGTGACAACATTGTGCGGGTTGTGACTGTCAAAACAGGCACCGGAGTGACAAAACGCGCCGTCAATCGTCTGTGTGTGTTACCCATGGAAGACAGTGCGGTGACCGTGTAAGATTAATCGTAGCCATGTAGACCCTTTGTTTTTTTGTTTTTAGACGTGTACGGCCGGGCGGGAGGATGTTTCGTTTCATGCAGACTCGACCGATATCGGGTTTCGCCTCGGGTCGTACCGCCCTCAACCCTCGAGGGGCAATCTGGCCACTCGAGACATATGTGCCTTTAGTTCGTAGGAATAACTTGTTAAGAACACTTGTTTTGTTACTGTCTGAATATATACGCTAATTTAAGTCCACTGCGTATTTCTTTACTGCGAACTCATACCGACGGATAGTAACAAACAAAATTTATCCAAATTTTGACGTTTTTGATGCATTACAATAAATTTGATGGTCTTATTGGAATAAATCACCACAAAAATTTATACACATTTTAAATTTAGTTTTTTAAACAGTAATTGTTTATAATTTTATGCTATAATAAGGCCAGTAAAACTCTTTCCGAACATTTTCAGCATCAGTGGGTTAAAAAATCATAGTCAGGTTTCTCGCAAAATCATAGGAGACACTTTTTGTAGAGCGTTCAATTCTCTATAAAAATATGTGATTGAATTTTTTTCACGACACACGACGGGCTAGCAATAAAAATCAGAAGGTGCAAACAAAAATTTTCCCATGTTATTCTTATGGGAAATAGAAAAACGCGATGCGGACGGTCTTAATATTAATATTAAGAGCTCAACTTTTAACTGGTATTTTTTTACGTTGAAAAGAAACTTTTGAACCTCTTTGACACGAAAAAAAAAATTATTTTTTTTTTTTGAATCACCCTAATATATATATATATATTTTCTCCATTTTCAAATTGAATCTGGGGATGAAATTTAAAAAAAATCATTTAGAATCAGGAGAAAGAAACTCTTTGTATATATCGCATCAAATTCAAAATGAATTGATTGAAACTTGTACTGATGTTGTGAAGAGCAAAATAATTGAGGATGTGAATCAGGCATCCGTTTTTTACGTTTTGGCTGATGAGACTGCTAATATTAGTGACACAGAACAATTATCGACTGGAGTTCGGTATTTGCGTTGTGATCAAGATAATAAAAATTCAATAATTTGCGAAGAATTTTTAGGATATGTGCTGCAAGAACTGAATGCGAAAGCCATTTCAAAAACATTATCCACTTCCTAGAAGATTGCAATTTGGATTTAAATTAAAGTGTGTATTTTATACTAAGCCAGGGGGGTGCAAGTGCACCCCCTTGCACCCCGCTGCCGGCGCCCATGCCTACAATATATGTTTTCTGGAAATTATTTATTTTATTTACTGTCCCATAGTCATAGTAGAAAAGTACCGACAGTATGCAGTGTCTGTAATTAGGGATATCCGACCCGGCATTGAGGGGAGTAGATGTCTGACTACGCTCTGAAAGAAGCGTGTCTTCACAATCCCTTTCTGAAAACTAATACGAACTTTAATGTTAATTAGAACCATCCATAGTTATCACTACTAGAAAAAAAAGCCGGTTTTTAAATTCACAGCTCGTTGGCTGTACCATTTTCCAATTCCGAATCACTAAACGCGCGGTCCTCACTATCTCATTAATTATATTATTATTATTATTAGTGATTGGAAAAAAATCAAACACTAAGGTTGTACAGTTATTTGAGATATCGAGGAGCACCCGTTTAGTGACTCACCGTGTATATCGGCACGGAGTAGAACTAATGGAAGAATTACAGTTTCCCTGATTAAGAAGAGTCCGTTTTGACGACGACAGTTTGCACTACAAGATTACTACAGGACAATATGATGCTAATTTTACGATCTTATAAGAATATTACCGTCGCAACAACAAAGTTAGAGCTTCTTTATTACAAATTTGTAATAAAATTTGTTATAAAGGAACTATGGTTAAAGTGTTAACTCCAATAAACCACTATCGATACAAAAAACTAAATTAGTTCTTATTAAAATGAATAATGTGTTTGTTAGTAATAAGTAATGAATTTGCATTAACTTGAAAATAAGCTGCTTCTAAAGCGTGTTATTCAAACAAATATTCATTGTATAAGTGTAGTAGGGATCTACAAGGCCCACCAAACTGTTCACAAATGCTATTTTGTCCGTACACCTGAAGTATTACTAAGCGCGAAACTAAAGAATAGACGCTTGCCCCAAAATACGGATTATTATTACGGATAGTAAAACTTCATAATTTGTACTTGACTTCTAGACACATTGTCTGTTAAGTTTCTAGGATTTTAAATTATTTTAATAATATTTTTAGGAATTTAGAGTTTACAAAGGTTTTCGTCATTAACCTCGGATTTATAAATTACAAATGACTTCAATTTTATAGTCTCCGTTGTTATTTCAAATATGTTATTTACGTAATGTCAGTCAAATGTATGACTGTGGAAAAAAATTAAATGATCACATGTATCATGGCCTAATTTTTAGTGTGTTGAAATAAATGAAGAACGATTTGAACGCAAGTGATGTAATTTAATTAAATATGTAGATAATGTAGATATTAAGTTCTGTTCAATGCAGAAAACATGACTTTTTATAAGTAATGGATGATTGTAATGTATTAATTTTCAAAGATAGTTTATTTCCGCCCACGATTGGGAATTATAGATGCGAGTTATTTTTTCAGGGCTTTTCAATTATTTTATTTAGTTTGTTTAATGGTGCTAGCTATAAGACTAATGGTGCTAGTTGGTGCTAGCTCTAAACTATTAGGTGCTAGCTTTTCATTGTCTTTAAATTATATTGCGGGGCTAGCGTTAACTTAGCCCCCCCCCGAAAATAACCCTTTATTACATGGCTTTATTGAATAAAAACACACTTTTTTTTAATGGATCCAGCGAGTGCTAGCTCTAGACTATTAACCTACTGATTTTTACCATTAAAGAAAAAAAAGTGGGGGCTACTTTTTTTTTGGTTTTTAATTTTTTTTTAATACTTGCAGAGTGGTGCTAGCTATGAGACTACTGGTGCTAGCTGGTGCTAGGTCTAAACTACCTCGGACCAACTTTTCATGAGAATTAAATAATGTCGGGGGGCTAGCGTTAACTTGGCCCCCCCCGAAAGTAAAAGGCTTTTATTTCAATAATTAGGTGGTGCTAGCTTTTTGATTGGTGGTGCTAGCTGGTGCTAGGTTAGAACAACGAGGTGCTAGCTTTTGAGTAAAATTCATTAACTTGGTGGTGCCAAGTTAACGGACCCCTAGAATTGCACTCAAATTTTTAATTTCAGAAACGCCTTCAAGAGTAACGTTATTCAAAATGTACAGAAATTCCACAAAGTTAGCAGTCGAGTTAATTAATATTATTAATAGTAATATTATTATTTTACTGTATGTTCAACAGAATAAATCCAATTACTGAACATACTTGACATGGGTTGACAAGCCAACTCATTAACAAATAAGGAAAATAGAACAGGCCCAAGATGGCTACCCTACTGAACACCTGACGTCACAATAATTGGACCAGAATAATGGTTCTCTAAAAAAACAGTTTTTGTCATTCTACATGTTTTCGATTTTTGTTCATTTAAATTTCATCTCAGGAATTCCTGAATTTTCATAAGGTTAGAATTGGGTTTTTTAGTTCTTTATTTATCATCTCAAGTTCCAAGATTTATTTATTCTAAAACATGTCTTAATTTTTTAACAGTAGTATAACCAAACAATACTGATTCTATTAATGTACTTATATTGTACTAGTGTAAGCATTTAGTTTCTACTCTGCATACATAAATGCTGCTGATTTTTTTTTAAGAATAAAATACTTTTGCAAACAACAATATTTGCAAAAAATATTTACTAAATTTACACTTACCAGCCTTGATCCGACTCGCGAATATTCGTCAGGTTAAGTGAAGCGGCGCCATACGGAGAATCCGGTGACACTCTTGACACTCTTCCTTCATAACCTTCGCCGCTATGAGTTGGATAGCTTTCATACCAAATGTAAATTGGTATGTCCTGTCCCTTTAAAAATTACTAGTGTAGTTAATATAATATAAAAGTAGTGTTCGAAAAAACTCCACATTCAAAACTGATTCGAATTATTTTGAAAATTTAAAAAATGGAGTAGTTTTCAAGAACACTAATAATATTAAATGGTTTATGCATTAGCGTTTTAATGTGCAAATGCAAATAACTTTCCAAACTACGTAAGGTACGATCCAATGACCCATGCTGAGACCAAAAACCTTACACAGCCGGGCAATAACGGTCTCAACTTTAATAAGCGTCGTAAACCAAATGACAATACAATAAAACAAACCATAATAGTCTAAAAACCTTTTGACACAATAATAAATTTTACATGTATATGTTACAAAAAAATATAACTATCTAATTAAAAATTGTATACAAATACGTAACATTTTCGTGTTATAAAATTCTTTATGGTGTCAAGTAGCATTTCATTTTACTACATAAAGCAGAAGCAAAAATATCCATTCAAATATGTTTTCAATAATTCTTTGTTTTGCTGTTTTGTTTTATTAAAGCATATGTTTATGTTCAGCAAATACCGATGAGTAAAAGATATGCCTCCATTAACTGACATCAAAGACCCCAAAAATTTTTATAATAAAAGATATCAATAAAATGAATATCCGATTTCGATGATATTATTTTAACTCTGAATGCATTATATACATGGACAGATCCACGTTACATAGATATATATTATATATATATATACATTATATATAGCGCATTGCAAAATGATATAAATACGCATTTTTTTTATTTGCTATCAACGAAAAAATAAAAATTTTACATGTTTGCTAAAAATGAAAGCAGTACAACTTATTGTTAAACGAATATCTTTTCGTAATACTCACTAATTTAATCTTTAAGGGGTGTTGCACATTTAAAATAGCAGGACAAAATATTTAAATGAATATTTCTGCAATAAATAAAGAAGCGGCTAATAGAGATGAAGAGAGACAGATACAGAACAACCTACATATAGCAAAATGAAAAACATGTAAACCAAGCTAACATAATTTACAGTCATCGAACAAAAACAATTGTGTTAAAAATTTATAACGGACTGTCAAAATCATGCTAACTCTTAAGAAAAACTTAAGGAAATTGTTTTCGTGATTACTGAAAAAGTGAGTGAGAACAGATTTTTTTAAGTGAACTCCACAAATAATGTGCAGGTAAGTCCATTTAGGATAATACAAGAATTAATTGTTTTCTTCGTAACAAATACTTTCAAAATTTAAAATCTGAAATGATGATGAAATATTAAGTTGTAATGTACCTCTGTTAAAATCATCTGCACATACAAAAATGACTGTTTAACATAATTTGATAAAGCACAAGACTTTAACAATGTACAAAATCATGATTGATGAAAATGACGCCAACATTATCTGCTCTCCTTATCCCATTAGAAGTAAATACTTCACTATGGCCAGTCACAGTAACAACAAACCAATTAATCGAACGGAGGCGATTTGTGGTTTGCACTTTAACGCCTCCAAATAAAAAATCAACTAACTTGAACTTCACAGAAATTTTAAATTTATAACATATTTACAATTTACTAGTGTCGTGAAATTGAACTTACTAATATTTTAAGTAGTAAATTGTAAATATAAAATGTTTATGTAAAACTTGAATAAACGTTACTGGAAATTTCAGTCCACAAGATCTGTAACATCTGATAAAATAAATGTAATCAGAGAATATCAAGCATGGATGTTCAAACGCTGAAAATATCATTCATTAATACATATAAATAGCTCGATACGCAAATACTACAGCATAGAATATAGTTCCATGTGTAAAAAATAATTGTTTATTTTTTCAGTACTTTAAATGTATGTAGAAACTACTACTTCCCGAGCGTAAGCTAAGGAAGTATTGTAATAGGTTCGATTCGATGAGTGACTGCTTTCATGTTTTCTCGACGTTTCATGGCCCGTAGAGTATGAAAAAGTAGGTCTCTGATTTCCACCTATCTGTGTCTATTGTCCAAATATTCTGATGAACTTAAAGCAAGAATATAATTAAAAGTTAATCACAGCAAAAAAAACGCTATTGATCATACTGCGAATAGTATGTACTAAAGTAAATCAAAATGGTATTTAATAAATTCCGAATTAAATATAAAGCACAAAACCCCATAGCCATAAATTTAACAGCTTCCGAATTTAATGATCACTTTGCAAATGTTGCTACCCAAATAGCAAATAATTTAACGAATGTGACACAGTTTAACGAAGAGTCAAACAAATCACCTTTACAATCATTTAGTTTAAATTATACCGCTGAATTTGAAATTGACTGATTAAATGCATAAAATCGAGCTATGCTGTCGATATGTATGATCTTAACTCAAGAATCATAAATTCATAAAACATATTTCTTACATAATATCTACACCACTGTCGTATACATATATTCAATAAATGCATATATGAGGTAGTTTTTCAAAAGACAGCAACAATTCTGGTTTTCTAACGTGTTACTATCAAAATGTACGTGGTTTAAGATCCAAAGTCGCAAATTTTGACAACTCGATAGTCGCTACTGAGTATGACGTATGCTTAAGCGAAACATAGCTAACAAAATATATTATCAACTGTGAGCTGTTTCCATCAGATTTCAACGTTTATCCAGGCGATCGCAATGTGCCATGAGTCAACAGGGGTGGAGGCCTTTTAATTGCTCATAAAAACAATTTCTCTGTGAAATTTTAAAAATGGACTCAGTTACTAAGTTAGTTCCCACTATCGATATCGTTGGAATTAAGGTTTCTCTTAATGAGACCGCCCACTTTTACGTAATTGTATTATATTATTATTCCCCCGTCTGTTAAGTTAGAAGTAATTTCAGCACGAAAGGGTACAGGGGCGGGGCTTAAGTTGCGCGACTTGTAGCCGGGCCATTAGTGGCGTAACATCGATGCATTGAGAAGGGAGACTCGGCTGAGTTATACTTCTTTCAAAAACAATTAAAAAAAAGAGCAATTTCTACAAAAGAATACAGACAACCATTTAATAAAAATAAATTAATTTGCTTGTTAAAAAAATAGACTTACGTAACAATAAATTATGATAATCTATCACACAAAATTTGGTATTTTTAATTATTAAACGAGTTTATAATGTGAGGGATTATAGCATGAGTAAAAAATTTCACGAACCCCTCATTATAAACCAGTATCATATACTATTTTATAGTCGACTAGTCTTAAATCAACAGTTAAATCTTTAGAAAAAGCGGGGTTAAAACTCTGAGAATAAACAACTTATGACTATAATTATATGGTTTTTAATTTTCTGGGTCAATTTATTGATACCGTAAAGTCGGATTATAATAAGGCTTAACGTTTTTTGTCTTTAACGTCGAAGTAATAATCACAGTTCATATTCTAGCATAATTGTCGTTTATAACTAGAGCTTCGACTGTACCGTAATTTAACAGTTATTATTGCTCACTGAAAATTACCTTTTTACTTCTTTTACATACTTTTTTATTCAACTCATACATCAAATACAGCACTTAACAATTGTTTAAATTCTTTTTCTATAATGTCAACGCTAATAAAATAGAAAAGTGACATTTTTATTAACCGCAATAATATTTTAATATTTCAAAATCGAAATATTCATCGCCGCTGCCACTGCTTGCACGATATTTGTAAGGCCAAACCAAAACAATGTTCTGCGCACTCCCACCACCTTGTACCCTTTCGTGTTGAAAGCTACTCTATCAAACTTTAAAAACGTTCTTTGAAACACTATCCCTATTAGACTACTTTTACAATGATGACGTAATAGTCGTAGATTTTAAAATTTTGTCATTTACCAGTGAACTTCGAGTCCAAAATGCCAACAGTTTCTGTTTAGTGTTAGATGAAATGTTCTAATCTATTTTTTGCAGAATGTGCTGTCAAAAGGTAAGTATCCAAATTTTTATCACAGCTATATTTTTTAATCTGTCACATTTTCAAACAATTGCTTTAAGGTATTGATATCTTACTGCTTTCAATTAAACGGGAGAAGTAAGCACGCAGAATATGAATTAATTTTATTGTTCAGGTCGCCTGCGCAAAGAAGTTTTCAATAACTCAGCATATTGGGGTAGCCTTCACAAAAATAAACTGAAAAATTCCACAAATGTGAAGTCACAAAGTCTACTCGAAGAATCTTTCTTGAACACACAGAAGATGAGACATCTACAAGAATATTGTTTCGAATTGTGTGAGGCATTCCTCAGTGCCGATATTCCTTTATCAATTCTGAATAATCCCAAGCTACAATCATTTCTTAAAAGGCGTACCACGAAGTCAATTTCCGATGAGAGTAATACCTTAAGAAAAAACTATGTGGACAAAGTGTTTCAAAAAACAAAGCACTCTATATATAAGGAAGTTTAATAAATTATCCCATCGGTCGAAAAACGTGATCGGTTTTAACCCGATTCTGAAATTTATACACTATGCTTTTTTTTTGTTTTCGAAATATCATCGCAGACACTTTAAAGAATGTTTGTAACTTATTATAATGTGAATTATATTAAAAGGTTGGGAAAATCATACGTAATATTAGTGTGATTTAAACCATACTCTCGATTTTATTATAGCAGAACGGGATTTTTTTTTTATTTTATAAATTACGGAAACTAATGGCGTGTCATATATGCATAAAAAAATTGGTCAAAGTTTATTTCGACAGAACTTCCCTCGCTCCTGAAACAAATCCCGCTTATTCAAAAAATTATAAAATTTAATTTTGCGATTCCTGTTTTGAGATAACCTCTACATAAAAAGTAAAAGCCAACGGCGTCAATAATATCCCCCGCAGCCCCTGTGCCGCGAGGGCGCAAATTGCAAGGTACACCATGGTCCGCGCAAGTACGAACGATAGAAAATATATTTAAACCAGATAACGAACGGGAAAATGAACTCTTAGTGTTATTACTGATTACATGGTTAATGTCGAGCATTTATGTTTATA